AAATTAAAGAAAGCGCACTAATTTTACTAAATCAAAATAATTGTGTTGCTTCATGTTCATTTAATTTAAGTCATACATGGTTACATATGCTAAAATCTGAAGTAGACCAAAGAAACATACAGCCAAATTAAATTTACACCAAAATTATTAATTAACATTACCTTTATTAATTTAAACAATGAGATTAAGTCAAAGTCACATAACTGATAATTTGCACCGAGGAATGATCAGAGCGAATTTTCATATACTGTATTATCCTACTATTGTTACACAATTTATTAACATACTCGTTTTGAGGTTCATTTAGGTTCTTTTGATAACGATAGCAGAAAATAGCTATCGAAACGTCAAGGCAATTTTTCAAATTAATTTCTTTACTAATTGGAATTTTCTCTTACAGCTTGAGCCTAAGTGTGTCGCAGGATACCCTCTTGGTGATAGTTCTTGATATATAATTCGTTCTTATTGCGAGATAAGGGCACTATTTATCAATCTGTAATAAAAGATGTGAGGAAATTCTGTCTTTTTTAAAGGCAAAACTTTTCGAGGCGAAATACCCAAAAATAAGTTTGTAAAAAAATATAAGGCTTGTTTTTGTCTAAAGTGCATGAACCTTGCAGAGCAAGCAGCACTTGGAGAAAGTGGTCGATGAGCTGAACGCAGGGCGGCCTCAGTGTCCCGTAGGACTGAACACTTTGGTGATACCCCGACGACTATCGCCCAACGACAGTTCGACCACGCAGCAGCCCTACGTTTATCTGAACTGCGGCCATGTGCAGGGCCTGCACGAGTGGGGGCAGGAGAGAGAGTCTAGCAATCGTAAATGTCCGATCTGCTTGGAGGTAAACCCCAATTCTATCACATACATGGCCTGCTCAAAACTGGCTCTCTTTCACCGGTTTCAGTTGGGCCCGGTTGTAAAACTGTGCATGGGCTTGGAGCCGGCTTTCTACGTGGACTCTGGAATTCCGTGTTTTGCATTTAATCCCTGTGGTCACATGGCTAGTGAAAAAACCGTTAAATACTGGTCCGGAATCGTCATTCCTCACGGAACCAATGGGGCCCAGGCCGTGTGCCCGTTCTGCGTCACCCATCTATGCAGTTATCCTGGGTATGTTAAATTAATATTCCAGGATAATGTCGACTAGAACCACCGCACCAGAAGGAAAGTAATTTAAAAATGGTTTACAACCCCCATTTCCACAGTTTTGGTCAGCAACCACAGCAACAGTAATATCTAAATAAAGCACGCAACTCTGCCGTGATTATTTAAATGATTACAAATTCATTATTGGTTAGTTTGCTGATAATTTCTTCCGCCCCTTAGTTCTTCGGTCTGTAAATAGCGGCCAGGAAAATATCAACTAATTTCCACAAATAATCACAGTCTCCGGAATCCCCCACAAAATCGACCAATTTTGAACACTGTGATGCACCAAAGCTCGGTTTGTACTGCCTTATAAATATCGCGGATTGGTTCTGATTCGATAATGGTTTCTTCTGTTAAACCTGCTGGCGGTACAATTGAAAATAATGCTATGTTGGCTGGGTTGTACCCAGCCCCATATTCTAACGGATGTATCGATTATACCCCCAATTATTCAATTTGTTCGCGACCGCATTTTTTGCTAAAATTTGTTGTATTTTATTGTCGTCTGAATGCAGTTAGTGATTTCTCGTTATTGTATTATTTTACCTTTAAAACTATTCGATTCGAAGGTGTTTGCCATTATGCACTTCAACCCGAACTGTATGAGGCAAACATTTTGCGGACACTAAGAGTGAATGTACACTGTTGTTGATCGGGCATTTTTCTGAATTTTTTGGAATGGCTTTAGAAGAAAGTAACTGCGTGAACCGTTAAGACTGGTTAGTATATGTAACGTATAATAATAATAAGGCGTAATGTAATGTGGTTTAAATGTGGTCGACATAATTTTCATTTCACTTGTGTGAACCAAGCATACCCGAGGCGGGAGTATGACCCGTATAATGTGTTATTTCGGCATTCTTTGTCCATTATGTTCAAATCGTCTATTCTGTATATATGTAGTATAAGATTGAACGTTAATCACGCTAGCGTGGTAGCCGTAAAGATTAAGGTATTTTTAACGATTATATTCACAAATGAATTTGTCTGTGCCTGGATATTCACTAATAAAATTATTATGTTTGTGTTTTAACACTCTACATAAGTGAATTGCACATTGACCCGAAACCGATGTTGAATAATAAATATTTGGTTTAATGTGCCATCAGTGTTTTGTTTGTTTTATTCGTCTTTCCACATAAGAATGTCTGAAGCAGGTAATTGGAAATGGTCATAAGAAGAACAGGAATGAAAAATCCACCCCGAAGTCAGGGATAAATTGTGAAAGAACCAGTGAATCGAATCAAACCAGATTCCATCACATGCAAAAAGAGGCTCCCTTTGCCATTTTTTGAAACCCGCATAAGATTGTTTGAAGCAGGTGATCAAAAACGGCCATAAGGAGAAGGTGCAGAAATAAAAAACCGCAAAAATCTTCCCCAAGTTCAAATTATTGGGGGTAATACTACGGGTGCTTTGAAATTACCGATAGTTTTTCACGATTGCATGATTTCCCTAATATTCATGCAAAATTAGCGGTAATTTTGAAGCACTTGTTCAATTACCCCCAATAATTTCACGTCGTCATGGAATCATAAAAAATATCACTGCCGACTGATTTATTTAAAGTGATTGATGTCAAATATATTCTGAAATTTAATTTTTAATATTTAATTCGAGAAATAATCTCACTAAATATCACTCGAGCTTTAAA